ATATATATATATATATATATATATATATGTATGTATTGGTAGGAACAAAACCTAGATTTTCCAACAATATTATATATAGTTTTTTAAGGGGTTTTTTATCAGATTACAATGAGAGAGAAAATCAATCGAAAAAAAGCTTATTGTTAGGGAAAAAAAAAAAAAAGTAGTTAATTACGCACACGTGCAGTGCACCATCGGGGCGCATAACGTGCAGAATTATGTTTCTTTTTTGGCACAAGTGTCAAATATGCTCATCTACTACTGCGAAGTGCTCAATTTCAACCACGAACTAAATTAAGTGTCAAATAGGTCCATCTACGAGTTAAAATTGTTCAATTGGCTTTTTTTTACAGGTTAATAACAGGTTACCTATTTAATTATTAAAATAAATAAATAAAATAAAATAAAATAAAATTAAAAAAAATACAGCCATCGGCTGTCCTCGCCGGACAGCCGATGGCTGTATTTTTTTTTTTATTTTTTTAATAATTTTTAAATTATTTTGAAATTATTTTTTTAATAATTGAATTGGTAACCGCAAAAAAAAAGTCAATTACCTGCAAAAAAAGTTAATTGAACAAATTTAGTAGGTAAGTGTGATTAATTAACCTTTAATTTAGTTCATAGTGAGAATTGAGCACTTGACAAAAGTACATGGGCCTATTTGACACTTCTCCCTTCTTTTTTCTTCTTCACTGTCCAAGAGGACCCCCATAAATAAAACATTCTTGCAAAATTGATTGCTTCTCTTTCATACACTTTCTCTCCTCCATCTCACCCCCTCTCTTCCATCTTGGCAAAAAAAAAAAAAAAAAATCCACTAAAAATCCACAAATGGGTTGGCTAACAATTATACACCAATATAAATATCAATTATATTTAAGTGCTTACAGTTTAACAAATTACTATGAAACATTTATATTTTGCAAAATTTAAATTTTAATCTAAAAAAAAAATCAATTTAAGCCAAATTTCTTGACTTTGCAGACAAATTATCTATAAATTTACAACATAACATCATTTTTTTTTAAATATAATGAATCAAAATATCTACTTTATTGTAACATTCAAAAAAAATATCTACTTTATTTATGATTTTATAGAACCGGACCCATCATAAATTAGGTATGATACACAAAATAGGTGTAAAGAACAATAATATTATTAATTATATAATGAATTAAGGTCCCTTCAAAAAAAAAAATAAAAAAAAAATGAAAGATTTGGGAAGAAAGCTAAGAGAAAATAAATTCTGTATTGAAGAATTGAACCAACCAATCATACACCAAGTCTGAGACTATCTATACTGGAAGATAGTTCATACAAAGCTGTTAGAGGGAAGTTATACATCATCTTATTATTTATATAATTTTATGTTTAATTCATAAAAGGACAGTGTTCTTTTAGTTTGTATTTCATTTTTATCCAATTGCAGGTGTATACTCTGCAACTGTACTATTCTTTATGGAGATATATTTAAACTGGCAGGTTATGAAGTGTCAGTTCTTTTATTAAAATTAGTAATAATATAGGTTATTGTAAAGTAAAAGTTTTAAATTTACTGTATTTCTTAGTATGTAGAACTGTCATTACATAGGTATTTTGTAAAAATTATTTTGTACTTCAAATTATTATATGTAATATTATGTAATTGCTTAGCAACAAAAATACTTTGGGGTATTTTGTTGATGTTTTTGTTATAGGAAAGTTTTCTGTACTGTAAAACTAATACTACTTTTACTGACTTATAAAATAGCCTTTTTAAAAAGCTCTTTGTCTTATGGTTCAAAAACAGAGAAACTAATATTTAAGATAAACATATAGGGCATACCTAAGCAGCATGATTGAAACCTTTCATATCAAACTTTACAATATACTCAATCTGCGAAGCACATGCATGCTGCAAATAGAGAGATTCTGATATGAAAATTAGGGTAAAATTCTAAAAGAGAACGATAGTGGGAAAGTTAATTTTACTGAACAATTCAAGCTAGAAATTGAAGGAATTTTGTAGCAAATCGGAGGTTAAAATGGCGAATCCAACAAATATACTAACAAATACCAAATATACTAACCTCGGTATGAAATTCTTAGACAAAAATGTTCTGCATGTTCTTTCCCATTAACTATTTCCGAAGATCTATACTAGAATTGAACTTACGCAGTAACCAAAATATAGATCCGCATTATAAACAATTAGGGTTTCGTAAATATTATAATTCAAAAGATTTGTATGATAGATAAAAATTTATTGAAAGATATACTATGTAAGTTACCTTTACCGCAAGATTCAACCTAGAAATTGAAAGAAACTGCTACGATCTACACATCTAAAATGGGGATTGAAAAAACTCTAGACAAACTAATCTATACGACCATACTTTCGTGGGATTGACAATAATTATCGTTGAATTGTGGTAAACGGTGTACTATGCGAACTAAAATGGTAGAGAATCAAAGTGACGAAACGAAAAGCACAGAGAAGAAGAAGAACGAGTGAAGCTTCTAGAAATGGATGGATGGATTGAAGAGTGAAGACAGAGATGAACATTGGGTTGACCGGCGTACACGGTGTGTGCAGTGCACCATCTAGGCAATGCAGAGTAGTTAATTACGCATCCAGATGGCGCGTGCAATGCACCATCTGGGCGCGCACCGTGCGCACGTAGAATTATGCTTCTTTTTTCTTCATTCTCTCTCCAAGCCAACCCCCCCCCCCCCAAAAAAAAAAAAAAAAAAAAAAAAACATTCTTGCAAAATCAATTTCTTCTCTTTCATACACTTTCTCTCCTCCATCTCACCCTCTCTCTTCCATCTTAGCAAAAAAAAAATCATTAAAAATCCACAAATGGGGTTGGCCTAACAATTATATACCCAATATACATATCAATTATATTTAAATGCTTAAAATTTAACAAATTAATATGAAACATTTATATTTTACAAAATTTAAATTTTAATCTAAAAAAAAAAATCAATCTAACCGAATTTCTTGAATTTGCATACAAATTATCTATAAATTACAACATAACATCAGTTTTTAAAAAATATATCTACTTTTATAATGAATCAAAATATCTACTTTTATTTATGATTTTATAGAATCGGACACATCATAAATTAGGTACGATACACAAAAAAGAGATAAAGAATTATATATTATTAATCGGGTACAAGGGTTTAAATAATATGTACATAGGACCAAGTAAAATGTCCTAAGACTAGTATATGATGAATTAAGGGCTCAACAAACCTTGGAAAGTAGTCTGGCATGTCTCTTTACCTTCTAGGAGCATGCAAGAAAATAATAATGATAGAAAAACACTCAAAGGTAACGTCCATTTGTTATACATAGATGAAGATATAATTAGGGTTTTGGTCGGTTATGCCTATCAAAAATCCAGATGGATTTTTCGGTTGATTGACCGTTTGCTCATCTCTAAGTCCGATCAATTATATCATGCACCAAGGTGCATCATGCATTGTGCACCCTAAGAGTTTATGTATATTATGTTAATAGTTTATGAATATTATATTAAGAGTTTATGTGTATTATGTTAAGAGTTTATATTATATGTATTGAGTTAATACCCAAAATCATCCTCGACTATAGTGGTTTTTCTCAATTTCGTCCTAAACGACTTTGGTGACCTAATATCGTCCCAGACTTTTGTGTTTCGCTCAATTTAGTCCCAGACTTTTGTGTTTTTGCTCAATTTAGTCCCTCATTTGTTATTCTGTCCATTTGGTGTTAAATAAATAGACAATTCAGTAATTTTAATATTGGTATCTCTTTACTCATAAACATGTGAACTGCGAAATCCTTTTTTTTTTTTTTTTTTTTTTTTTTTTTTTTTTTTTTACGAATTACTCCCAGAATTACTCCTAAAACTGCGAATATAAAATTTGATTTGCAAGTCCGGGAGTAATTCTGGGTGTAATTCGTACAAGAAAGAGAAATTTCGCACTTAACAAGTTGAAAGTAAAGAGAGATCAATATTGACATTACTGAATTGTCCATTTATTTAACACTAATTTGACGGAATAACAAATGGAGGACTAAATTGAGCGAAACACAAAAGTCTGGGACGATATTAGGTCACCAAAGTCGTTTAGGACGAAATTGAGAAAAACCACTATAGTCGAGGACGATTTTGGGTATTAACTCTATATGTATTATATTAAGAGTTTATGTGTATTCTATATTACAATTATGTATATGTATTGTGTGCCCTATGTACGATATAACAATTGCCTAAGTCCGCGTCCACTTTTTTCTAGGGATGTCAATTGGGCCAGCCCACTCGGTTTCGGACTAGCCCGGCCTGTCGGGTTGTCGGGCTAATCGATTTATTAATATTTTATTCTCGGGTTCGGTTTGGCCCTAACCCTAAACTTCGGGTTGTCGGGCTAATCGGGCGGGTTGAACCATGTGAACTAAAATTAGAAACCGAAAGTGAGTACCCATATTTAGAGCAGGGATGACAACGGGGCGGAGCGGGACGGGATCAGGAAGTATACTCCATGTCTCCGTCCTCAACGGGAAATTGAAAATAGTGCCTATCTACGTTCCCGCGGAGAATTTGGCGGGACGAAAAATCCCGTCCTCACCAATTTTTAGTCAAAATATTAGATTAATGTTGTTTTAAATTTTAAAAAACTGAAAACTTAAGTTTTAATTTAAATTATATATATATTTATTTATTTATTTATAATTATAATAATTATTCCATGTATGTTAGGTTTCACATCATTTCTATAATAAAGAATAGTTTTCAATAGTTCGGGTTGTCGGGCTAGCTCTTTTAATTTCGGGTTAGTCTTATCGAGCCACCAGAGTAATCGGTTTCGAGCTCGTCGAGTTAATGTGTTTTATCGGGCTAGCCCATTCAGGCCATAACCCTGTCAATTTCGATTTTTATCGGGTTGGTCCATCGGGTTCGGGCTAAATTGACATCCCTACTTTTTTCTATCTTCTTTGTATTTTGTTATTTTTTTTTTTTTTGGAAATATCTTCTTTGTATTTTAGTTCAGCCCAAAAGGGAGAGCAGCACAACTGAGTACTGAGGGTTTTAGTCTTTTAGAGCGGTCGCCGGCGAACGATTTTCTTCTCCGGCGAGCAGAGGTTGCTTGTCAGAGATGGAGTACGTTAGCCCCGAAGGTCTTCGCTTGGACGGTCGCCGTCCCCTCGAGGTTTCTCTCGTCTTTTATTACTTGTGCCAAAAGGATCCCATTTTCTTTTTGGATAAGATACACGTTTCTATATGTAAATATAACCATGTTTTTGGTGTTTCGTTTGCAGATGAGGCAGCTTCGTGCTGAAATCGGTGCAGTCGCCAGAGCTGACGGGTAGGCACCGCTCTTTCTATATGTATTCTATTCTTCTGTTTTTAAGAAGTGCTAAATTGCAATTTTATGGTAACGCTGCAGCTCTGCTGTCTTTGAAATGGGTAACACCAAAGTGATTGCTGCAGTGTATGGCCCTAGGGAGGTAAATTGCTCTTTCTTTTGCTACTTATTACACCCAAATCAATTGTTTCTTCTCCAAATTAAAACTTCATTATATATCTCTTTCTTTCTGATAAATGGGTCTTGATTAAGTCTAGAATGTCTTGGTCCTGTTTGGTAAAATGGCTGTTAGCTTAGCTGTTAGTTGTTAGCTGATTGTGTTAATTAGAGGGTATGAAGTGTTGATAACATTAGCTGATTGTAGAAAAGTGTTAGCTAACTTAGCTGTTAGCTAATAGCTGTTTGGTATAATTTCTTTTCTAAAAAAGCTAATTGAAAAAGTTGCTTGGAGTAGCTTTTTGAATTTTAGCCTTTTGGAGTTGCAAAAAGTTAATTAACCAAACATTTATATTGATATTTTAACTAAATCAAATAATTAATAGTGGTCAAATAAGCCAAAATTGGCCTATAGGCCAATTTTTTTTACCAAACAGGGCCACGTCTATCTACATAAAATGTGCTCTATAGTGCCAATAATAACTGCAGCTAATTTTGACATCTGCATTGATTATGTCATTCAGGTTCAAAATAGGAGCCAACTAATCAATGACCAAGCTCTGGTACTTAACTTCTACTATGAGCACTGACTCACTGAGATGTTTATATTCATGTTTTTCTTTGTTCCCGTGATGATGTGATGGTTATTCTTAAAAAAATCGTTTAGGTTCGCTGTGAGTATAGCATGGCAAACTTTAGTACAGGTGATCGGATGAGGAAACCAAAGGGTGACAGGTGATTGACGTTTTGCCTTTATTATCCCGTGCCGTTATTTTCATTCCAGTATCATGACTTAAAAGAATCTTGTAGTATTTGATTTTGCCTCAACTTACAATTATACATTTATACACATTGTCTGCACAACTCTATAGGTCAATTTGTATCTGGACAATTGTTTTTTTATGTTGTGCAGGAGATCCACTGAGATATCACTAGTTATTCGTCAAACAATGGAAGCTTGCATTTTGACGCATCTAATGCCTCGTTCTCAGGTTCTAGTGTTTTAGCTATGTAATAGACCCAACAGAATCTGATAGTAGTGTACCATATTTTGAGTTTATATTATTTTGTATTCACAGATTGACATTTTCGTCCAAGTTATCCAAGCTGATGGAGGTATGATTTTATTAGTCTTCTGTAAAAATGTTTGTGCAGTATTTTAAATTGACCATTGTTTTCAAAATTTAAATCTTCAATTGTTGAATGCAATTCATATGAAGGCATTTAGTTTTTCTTCTATAATTAATATGTTTTCTTGAGCTCTAATTATTTGTAGGAACAAGATCAGCGTGCATAAATGCTGCCACGTTGGCACTTGCTGATGCAGGGATTCCTATGCGTGATATTGTTACTTCCTGCAGTGCTGGGTACCTAAATAGTACCCCTCTTCTTGGTAAACCAATTGAACATTTTTTGTTAATTTTTTTTTTTTTTTTTTTTTTTTCAAAAAAAATTTATTAATAAAATGGCCGAAGCCAATACAGAGGGCTTAGGCCCCACATGGCCTAAACCCTAAAACTAAACTAAGAAATGTAAAGTAGAATAAAACAAGATTACATAAAGAGGCCCCCGGAGCTCTAGTATGCATGCCCCAAGTCCTATTCTAGCTATCACTAACTAAACGTAGGCAGGAATATGATTAACCAAATAAATAGACTGAGAAGCTGCTCCAAATACGCGCATGCCTCACAGCCCATCATGTAGTACCAAAGCTCAAATAGCGAGGATAGACGCCTCGCGTGTGACAAACATGGCCCCTCCCAGCCAGTTGCACTACAGCGACTACACACCATAATGCCGCCTAGCCGGGCTGCACCACAATTGTAACACCTCCCGGGGCGCCATTGGCTGCCCTGTAGAACCAGACCTGCCATACAACAGAATAGCACGCTGGTCTAAGTCAAGATATACAGCTAACAGTGGCACGCAGGCCTAAGTCAAGATACAAAGCTTAGTGGCACGCAGGCCTAAGACAAAGGTACAAGGTAGATCCCAGGCCAAAATCGATCAACGCAGCGCAAGGCAGCCAATAGCAGAACCCCCGATCAGCACCAGCACGAACCAGAACCAACCCTAACGGGATTAGCTACTATGGGCCAGCAGCAAGCCTGGACTACCGCCAACGGATTTGAAAAACACCTACCCGGCCACCGTTCAGCCCGGGCTACGATGCAATTTTTACCGCTTGCATCGGCGTTGAGACCTGGTCTTTCCCAAAGATGCCTGCAAAGGCGAAACCAAAACAGCCCAGGACCAGTTCATGCCTCCGAGGCCAAAGAAACAGCACCTGCAAAAATAGAAACAAGATAGAACAACCAAGCATCCCGTTCCCATGACCCAACTTAATTCTACCTCGGGTGAGTGTTTAAGGTTATAACAGGCTGACGCGAACAAAAAATAAACCATAGCTCGTCCCCCCCGGAGTCCAAAAGGAACTCAGCTACTATTGGCCAGCAGCAAGCCTGACCAGGTCAACGGATTTGAAAATCCTGCCCGGCACACCGTTCAGCCCGGACTAGGGTGCCCTGTTGTACCGCCAGCACCTTACGTTGAGACTCAGCGCTGCAAGCAGGGCCTCACGGCCTCCCAAGAACCTCACACACTCACTATTTTGAGCTCCCATCCACTCTTTCTTTTCCTTTCCAACTCTCATTTTCTTTCCCTCCAATTCTTTTACACTCCAATTCTTTTCACTCTATTTCTTTTCAATCGTTTCTCATTTTCTCAAATCCATTTTCTTTTTTCTTTTCATTTTCTTTTCCTTTTCATTTTTCCATCTCTCTTTCTCTCTTTTTTTTTTTTTTACTTATTTTCCCTTTTGTTAATTATTTTTTAGTGTGTGTTTTTGAGTTGACTGGCATTCTGATATCATCGAACTAATAGTTTGATAATGAAACTTCTAAATGAACAGATCTAAACTATGTAGAAGACAGTGCTGGTGGCCCTGATGTCACTGTTGGGTTTCTACCTAAGCTGGATAAAGTTACCCTTCTGCAGGTTATTTACTATACAAACATGTCAATTGTGAAATGTATACATTCAGTTCATCATGTCGGTCTTATGTTGTGCTTTCTTAGCCTATTTGCATTATTGTGATTCTGGATGTTCTAGTGTCTATAATATACTCCCATTTTCCTAGGGCTTTTTATGTCAAGGACATCAAATTAACTCGAAGTAATACTTGGTTACCGGTGTTTTTAACCTATACATAATTTATTTTGCAAATTCCAAAAGAGAGAAAAAAAAACAATGCATACTGTTATGTAATGTATGTTGCTATCTTTTAAATATGAAGACGCTAAATCGCATATTTTGTAATCCCAAAGTCATGGTGCTTATTTTCTCTGATTACATAAAAGAGGATAGATGGATTTTACTCTTTTGGCGTTTTATAATAGCAATTAATTATGTTTGGTGCAGATGGATGCTAAATTATCATTGGATACTTTTGAAAATGTTATGCAACTGGCAATAGAGGGCTGCAAAGCAGTGGCAAACTATATTCGCGAGGTAAGGGTGGCAAAATTTTGTTCATCCAAATTTGTAGTTTATAATTGATAATCCAGTTTCTCCATTTTCCATGTAGCATATTCTTTTGGGTATTTCAAGATTTGCTTCTTTTTTTTTTTTTGGTAGATATTATTAGAAAACACCAAGCAATTGGAATGCCGGCGAGGCCTATAGATTTACTGATTGATTGAGCTGAATCCCAACCAAATCAGGACAGGATGGTGGGCAAAACTGGTCAGAAGAAATCTGAATACCAACCAAATCTTGGAGGATAGAAAGCTTGATATTCCGGCAATGAGTTGTGGATTCATCATTCTGATTCATTAGTGCTCTCAACAAAGAGATACCAAATGAATACAAATTCTTGCTGTCATTGCTTTTCTTGAGTGAAGGTTTTAGAATGTTTTGTTTCCAATACAGCTCCTATCTTGGCACTCTGGAGACAAAAAACAACCTCAAAGTCTGCCAAGTTGTAACATTATCAACTAAAATTTGGACTGGAAAATTCTTCCTTTACTCTGTCTTCTGAATTGAGCACTTTTTTTTTTTTTTTTTACTCAAACTGGTTGAAAAATATGGTTATTAAAAATCAGAGGTTACTTAAAGTTCTAAACCAATTAAACTAGTTGAAATTGAAAAAATTAAAAAAAAAATTATGAAAAGACAAAAATGCTCTTACTAAAAATATGAAAAGTCATGAAAATGATTAAAAATGTCCAAAAAATAATAGTCTAGGATGTTAAATAAAAAAAATGATAACCTGGCCACCAAAGACAAGGGACATCCGATCGAATTAACTCTTTTTTTTAAGGACCTCTTTGACTGACTACTAGCTATTTTGTCTAATGACCCGGGTAAGGGAATTTTTTTTAATCTAAAAACATAATAAGTGTGAATGAAAGTTATACCCTTCAATTATGTCCAGTTTTTCCGTTAAGTTTTTTATACACTATGTTATAAAGGTTGTACTTTACAATATTTTGGACAAACATACCCCTACCGTTATAATTTCTATTATCTTTTCCACTATTGTTATTATGCACATCCATCCACCATATATTTTCTTATCTTTTTAAATAATAATCTAATCTAAACTATAATAAAGCTATATGGTTGGGAAGTAATTAATGTTACTTCCCAAACCATATAGTTAAGATTAATGTTACAATTATAATTACCAACATTATTATTATTACTAGCTATAAATATAAAATAGTCACAACATCCTTTACTATAAAAAAAATAATAATAAAAAAGCACAACATTTGAAAAATAAAATAGCTATTTTTTTCTCACCCATAACAAAGGATTACATTTATTGAATTAATGGAGTTATTACAGGGCGTTTGGTTGGAGGGGGGGATTATGTGGGAAAGGAATTGTAATTCCATGGGAGTTGAATTACTGGGAATAAAGTGGGAATTTAAATTCCAGTGTTTGGTTGACAGGAATAGAATTACTGGGAATTTCAATTCCAATGTTTGGTATACATGGGAATTGAAAGGGGTAATGTTGACTCATTACTATCTTTTTTTCCCAGGAATTAAAATACCAGGGGGAGACATGGGATTTTAATTCCATGAAAATGGGGGAATTGCAATTCCCTCCAACCAAACTATGGAATTTAATGGCCTTTGGAATTAGGTGGGAATTAAGTGGGAAGGGAATTTAAAATCCCTCCAACCAAACGCCCTGTTATATGTTATGATATTAGGATTATGGATTCCGATTCCCAATTAATAGAAAATATGAAACGATGCAATATCAATTAAATCTCTGGCTTTACAATGAAAGTTTATTTGATATGCTTTTGTTATATATGGTGCTTCTTGGGATTACAATATTAATTAAATTTTCGATGAAAGCCTATTCGATATCTGAAACAGTACAATTAATGCAAGCCTCTACATATAAATTTTCTCTCTATCAAATGCTTCAAAGAAATGGCAGAAGCGAGAAGGGATGAAGAAAGCAAATGTTGCGGGCCGTGGGTCAATTATTGAACTTCAGAATAAAAAAAAAATAAAAATCATTTGAGCCATAAATAAAAATTTAAATATATATATAAATGTATATATCGTATGGGTCTTTAATATTTTTCTGGATTTCTAAACTTAAGACTTTTAAAAGAAAAAAAAATACATTTGAATTATCTCCACAAAAAAGTGGACTTTGACTTATAGAATGACATTTGGGTTTATGGAATGACATGTGCATAAAGAATATATTATATAATCATATAAAAAAATGTGTTCAATTAGAGTTTAAATTTACTCATACAAAATTTGAAATTTACTTTCTAAATGTAATTATATTAGTTATTATTCGTATTATGAAAATTATGATATAGACTAGTTTTTTACGCGCATTGCGCGACTGGGATAATGCCCAATGCTTTTTTTTTTTTTTTTTTTTAAATAAGTACTTTAAAGTATATTAAGGCAGGACTATATTGAAATTGTTCATGCATAGATTATTGAAGGTTGAATATGCGTATTTAAATAGGTAATTCTTCTCCCAAAGATTGAGTCCCCAACCCCAAGGACCCCCCACACTCCGACCCGACAGAGCATTGTGGGAAGTTGTAAATCACGATGACTCAATGGTTCAGCAGACAGGGCCAAATGCTGATCGATACGCACAAGGGATTTGCCCACTTTGGACATAATTCCCGCACTGCCGCTGCCGAGGTTCAAACCTTCGTCTCTTCTCCCAAATACTACCCACTAAACCATTGAGCTAAGCCCGTGCGGGTTAAATTGGTAATTCTAAGTTTACAAATGCAAGATAATATAGTCAAGATTGATTATAATTGTCAATAAAATAATTGTATAGGTATGGTTGAAACCAAATACGGGACATAAGAGAGAATAAATAAAAATTAGGACATAAAATATTAAATATATACTAATATTGTTTGAGATTCCGACATTAGGATTTGTGGTTAAGTTCTATTAAGACTTTAATATTAGAATTAGATTAATGGTGTAGTTATAATTCTATATTAGACTTTAATATTAGAATTAGACTAACGGTGAATTAAGGGAAAAGTTAAATGGATAATCATATAATTAAGGATAAATTAGAAAATCTTAAAAGAAAAAACTAAAACCTGAACAATATGAACCATTCATTTGATTTAATAATTTGGCGGTCATTTTTTCTACCCAATGTTAATAATTAAATAAATTCGCTGGTCAAATCCGCTAGTATAATCCGCTAACGCTAACCGCTAACTGCTGATTGTCAAACAAGGACATTGCGAGGTAGTTCTCACTTCAATTTGTTGTGTGATTTGAATACTCTCGTTGTCACAAAATCTCTCAAGTAGTTAATATGGTTGGCTTTATTAATTATATATTTTTAATTTTTTCATGGTATTAATAAAATACTTGGTAAATAAATATATAGCATTGTTTTGTATTATAACTTTGATATTTAATTAGAAAAATAGTGCACAAAAAGATAATAGATAATGTAGTGAATATAATCAATTGATGAATTTGAATGTAAAAAATTTTACATTTGAAAAAATAAAGACAATATAACTAATGCAAATATTTCTTTTAATTAATTTATTGATAATTAATAAATTAAGAAATGTATATGCATTATTTTTTGTTGTAACTACTAAATTATTATTTATATAATTTAATAAGAGTAAAATAGAGTACTAATTATGCCAACTTTGATTGGGATGAGGTTCGAACCTAAAACCTTTTTTTATTGAAATCAATGAGTAAGTTAACGGTGAACTAACGGCAATTCTTAAAATTTTAACGGAATTAGTAACGGTGTGTGGGTATTTTAGGAAATTTTAGTGTAAAATTTAAATCTGATCAATCTTTTAATTAATCTGAGCCATTCATTTGATTAAGATATGTGACCGCCATTTTTTATACCCATTATAGACCTAACTCTCTTGGGCTCTTATTAGTATATATATTAGTATATATATATAATATATATATATATATATATATATATATATATATATATATATATATATATATATATAGTAGATGAAATACAATTAAGAATAAATCAATGTAGTTATGTAAATTCTCTCTATAAGTTTATTTGAATATGTACATAATTAGAAATTATATTAACCATACAAAATTTTAATTTTAATTTTAATTGTAATTTTGTATTCTATAAAAATAATAAATACTTGACCAATGGAAGCTCAAAAATATTATTATATTAAATAATTTAAAATATTTTTATTTTTTCTATTTTTTTATTAATATTTATAATAACATAATTTTTTCCTCGTGCATCGCACGGGTGATAATTATTAAATAACAAAAATTATATATATGAATAAATCTTATATAGAGTCAGTAGCATTCAAAAAAAAAAAAAAGAATAAATCTTATATAGAGTATATTTTTATAACATATTTTTCGTGCATCGCACGGGACAAATACTAGTAATAATAATAATAATATACTTATATGTTAATTATTTCCTAAAATATAAATATCAAGTTTATAAAAATATTTTACATTATTATTATTATTATTTACAATAATTTAAATATGTAAAATCTAAATTAATTTAAAATTTTAATATAAATTATTATTATTGGGCACATATTTTTTACGCATCAAGCATGAAAAATACTAGTCCCTGCTCTAATATCAGCTATTTTCTTATGCAAGTATTAAGCGGTGGCAGGGCGATATCGGTAACGCACCCCATTCTCAATCTCTGCTATCCAACGCTTGAATCCTTCGTCTGGAATACTCTAATTCGTGCCCAATGCCCATGTCCAACCAACAAATCCCTCCGTCACCCCGCTCTCCATCTTCCTCCGCATGGCGTCCAACTCGATCTATTACCTTTCCTCCTCCAATCATTCACTCACTCATTATCCAGCTCGGATTATCGGACAACCTGTTTGTACAGACATCCCTTGTCAATATGTACTCGTCTTGCGGCCACTTAGGCTTTGCCCAACAGCCGTTCGACGAAATTCCTCAACCGGACTTGCCATCTTGGAATTCGATGCTCAATGCAAATGTGAAAGCCAGCATGGTTGATAAGTGAATCAAACTTTTGAGTTTTGACCTAAGCTACTACCTTACTTAATTCATGTGCTATTATTTTTAGCTCTTAGCTTGGTTGATTTTATATTTTTCCTCAATGTGATTTTGCCTAATTCAAGGCTATATTATTCAACAATTGAAGAAATCAAAGTTGTTGTTCCACGGACAGCTCAATTTTTACTTGGATAATTAAGATCGAGACTTGACAGCTGCAATGTATGAGTTACATCTAATGTGGTGAGCGCATTATGAACACCATGCAGTGGTCCCCTCACTTAAGAGGCCGTTGAGTTACTGTGATTTACTTTTTTCACTATCTTGTTGGCTCTCCGGGTGAGAGATAACAACCAATCAAATACAAGACATTTGGTAACGTAACGTTATTGTAACTAGCTTAATTAATTTCATTGCCTGTTGACTTTGTGTTGCGTATATATATACAACTGTTAGCATTTCTGCCCACATTGCCCCTTTTGGTTTTTTCCATAAGAATTAGGCAATGGCATGGCATGAAGCATGCATAGGGTGCTAGTAACATGCTCAATATCCAAACCTCAATGATTTTCAATAATTTCATTTTGAAACGCAAACAACTACATATATAATCAAGACTGCAGGGAATGTTTGAGAAGAACAACCAGATTAATTTGAAAAGGTCAGTAAGCAAAAAGAAAGACAATACACATGCAATTTAGTTTAGTTAAGGTGATATTTTCTACATTTGACAATACAATATGTTTTGAATTTAGCATGGTTTAAGGAAAATATAGTTGACGTATTTAAGCTAGACACTCTAAAAAAAAAAAGTCGTACACACATGCTCATGAGAACAATAAATCTGAGGAGAATAGTAATTCTGGAAGAGTAAATTGTTATTGAGCATTCTGAAATTGATTATTTATATGGATACAAAGAATCCCAGTCAGGATAGGAATGATAAATATAGAAGAGGGAAAATAAATTTGTATCCTTGAAAGGATAGAAATGATAAATTGTAATATTCCTACTAATATAAGGAGAGGGAAAATAAATTTTAATGTATCTAGAATACAGAATATTTGCATGCATGCATGCATGGTTCTATAAATACCCTCTTCTCTTCTTCAACTTCTCATCACGGCTCTCTCTCTCTCTATCTCTCTACAATACATACAACCCAACCTCATATACATACAAACATATCATGGCTGTGTGCAAACATTGTTTCTCACTTATTGTCTTCATCACCTTTTTGTATGTAACATGTACACTAGCAGCCAATGCTAATTACAATGTTCAAAGCTATGGAGCAAAAGCTGATGGTAATAGTGACTCCAGCAAGGCCTTTTTGGGCGCATGGGCGGCGGCCTGTGCCTCCACTTCCCCGGCCACCGTTTACGTCCCGTCGGGACGGTTCCTGCTTGGCAGTGCGACCACATTTGGGGGCCAAACATGCAAGAGCAAGGCCATAAGGTTTCAAATAGATGGAACGATTGTGGCCCCATCTGACTACAATGTGATTGGAAAGGCTGATAATTGGATCAAATTTGTAAGAGTGACCGGAGTTTCCATTGTCGGCGGAACCCTAGATGCCAACGGCGCTGCTCTTTGGTCCTGCAAACACTCCGGCAAGAGTTGCCCTGATGGAGCTGGGGTACGTACACAATATATGTAATGATTTATACTATTTTAGGTTTGGTTTTAATTTTTTTTTCTAACTTTTGGTAAATACATATGTATTTATGTACAGACACTGGCGTTTTACAACTCAAATAATGTTGTTATCGACGGACTAACTTCACAAAATAGTCAGAAGTTTCACATTCGCATTGAAAGCTGCTATAACGCCAAGTTACAAGGAGTGAAGATCTCGGCGGCCGGAAACAGCCCCAACACCGACGGAATCCACGTCCAGTTGTCGAGAGGTGTAACAATCTTGAATTCCCACATTGGCACCGGCGACGACTGTATCTCTATCGGCCCCGGGAACTCCAACTTGTGGATTGAAAACATCGCGTGCGGCCCCGGCCACGGAATCAGGTCGGCCAAATTGAAAACATTATTAAACAAAAATTTTGATTCCATTGCTTTACAAATGAATAATCTTAATTAAGGAATCTTTGTTATATATATATATATGTTTTTGTGCAGCATTGGGAGTTTAGGTTGGAAAGATCAGGAGGGTGGAGTACAAAATGTGACGGTTAAAACTACTACTTTTACCGATACTCAAAATGGGTTGAGGATCAAAACGTGGGCAAGGCCAAGCAATGGGTTTGTGAAAAATGTTATTTTTCAACACGCAGTCATGTCTAACGTTAAACACCTCATCATCATCGACCAAAATTATTGTCCTAACCACCAAAGTTGTCCTCATCAGGTACGATTAATCATGCATCCTTAGCTAGCTAGCTTATTCCACCACCATCTATCCTTAAAACTACCTTAAAAACATTTTTAAAAAATAGAAAATGACGTTCCGATGCTAATTAAGCATGTGTTTATATATGATTAATTATGACAGGGGTCGGGCGTGAAGATAAGCAACATAAAGTATAAAGACATACATGGTACATCAGCGACGGAAGTGGCGATGACGTTCGACTGCAGCAAAACAGAACCGTGCCGTGGCATAACGTTGGACGATGTAAACTTGACGTACAAAAATCACCCGACTCAAGCCTTTTGCTCTAACGCCGAAGGGACATCTTTCGGTTTAGTTATTACGCCGGCAAGCTGCCTCTAAGCGTTGGATCAAAATATACATGCTAGCTTTAAATTTCAGATGATTGAATTGACGAAGTAATAATTAATATAAGATGTATGTTTGCGTCTGTTTTAACCTCATTTGGCTTTACTACGTACAAAAATGTATACCATACTCACAATAATACTATATATACATTTGTCTTTCCAATTAATTGTTAAATTAAATTTGGAACCAATACTTTTTTTTTTTTTTTTTTTTTTTTTTTTTTTTTGCCTTTCATGTCACATTACAATATATGCACATTTAATGGTAGTGTTAGGGCTATATACAGTCAATATCGCTTCATTACGTGCTACTAAATCACAAGATCATTTACTATATTTTTAGAGAGTAATATGATTATTGTCTTCCTTATTGCTTGTAATTGAAATGTAAAATAATTGATATTTTATCTATTCATCCCCTACTTTTGCAATTCAGTATCTTTTTATAATTAATTGATCATGAGACTACTGCGTGCTATTGTACTTCCCTATTTTCGTAGTCTTTTTTTTTCATTAAACATTTCATTTAATTGATGAGCCGAGTACTGATTTTCATACCTTCATTGCCAGTACAGATATTAAATGCACAAGACACTTCACATTTGCCATATCATATTTATTTTATGTAATTTGGAATAAACAATTTATAGATTAAATAATTTATACCCGATATTGTACTATTACGACACTATTTACAAGGACAAAGAAACGCCCTATGGTTATCAAAATGTTTTGCTTTTCTTTACAAATTCTAAATAGTAAATACTATTTAACACTTTCTTTATATTCATTACTAATCTGAGACACATTCACTCAACATTTATCCATCATATGTCAATATAATTCACCATAATTTACAAAATTTCTCTATTAAATTACTTATTACCTTAAAATGAATAACCCTAATCCACAATAATTCATTACTAATATGAGACACATTCACTCAACATTTATCCATCATATGTCAATATAATTCACCATAATTTACAAAATTTCTCTATTAAATTACTTATTACCTTAAAATGAATAACCCTAATCCACAATAATTCCCCAAACAAAATGCACAATAAAATATAAAAATTCAAAATAATTTCTAAATATTTAATAATTCTCTAAAAGTAGCAATAGTTCACCACAATACATCTATAACCTTAAAATAAATTAACCTTAATTCATAATTAATAATTCTAAAAATCTCAAATTTTCTTATAATCACAGTAATTCACAATAAAGTATAAAAATGAAAATATTTCAAAAAAAAAACAAATATTACCAATTATTCGAAAGAAATCAAAATAATTGTTAAAATTCACAAAATAATTCTACAAATTAAAAATGAACTTGAAATAAATCAAAATAATTAACAAAAGTTACAAAACTCACAACAAACAACAATAATATAATTAAAAAATATATAAACTAATTTATAAAATTTACAATAATTTTTAAAAAAAACAACATTAAACAATAATTCAAAAAAAAAAAATGCTAACAAATCACAATAATATCACAATCATCCCAAAAATTCAAAATAGAAATTAAATTAAAGAAATTAGAGATAAAATAAAAGGAATGCGATTGAGCAAGTTGTAGCTAGTGGTGGTGAGCGACGATGAGGGTTGACTGGTTAGAGGCTAGTTTTGGGAGACTGTAAGATGGAAATCGATGACAACTATTGATAGTGAGAGAAGAAGGGCTATGTGACAATGACGGCCATCGGTGGCAATGGTGGCCGGTCTCGTGGATTTGAGTGACGGTTACGATTTTAAGTTTTCGTTTTCAAAGGAACGGTACAATGAAAAGAATATGAGTTGGGGGAAAATATAATAGACTTAGTACAATGAGAAAAAAACCTAGTACCGTATTATATATATATATATATATATATATATATATATATATATATATATATATATATATATATATATATATATATATAGGGAGCCATTCACATGAAAACCCCCTTATAATACAAACATACGGACTAATTTGAACCATAGGATTATATTAGATTAATGGCCAAGATTGGATTGTAATTGTACATGTGCTGGATCGTAATAATTAAGCAAAAGGGCATTAAAGAGAATTGTGTAGAATGCTAATTAAGGTATGATTGTAACTGTAATGTTATCTACCTAATTTAAAGGATACTAATTGCACTATAATTCAACCAAATCAACTCATTCGAACCACACCACCCCCCCCCCCTCCCCCCCACGCCATTGCCGACCTCGCCAGACAGCTACGACAACCGGAGCATGGAGTATACGCCGCCATGGTTACCAGGTAATGATCTCACCTTCATTGTAATACTATAAACGTAATACCTAGTGCATTACACACGATTAATAGAGACCAGACACCCCTGAATATAATTGTTGGTAGAATTGGTAGACATTGAATTGGATATCATGTACGCGGTTACACCCATTGGAAAACCCCCAATCCTGTAAGGAAACCCAATGAGTCCAAGGATACGTTTACCGTATGACAGGACGCACACATTCCAACGTGGAATGCACACGAACCTTAATACCACAAGGTCTGGAATGAGTCATAATAGGTCGCCCATTGCATGCACCACTGAATACAGGCCAAACAGTAGAGATGCACATGGTTTCAGAGAGACCGTAACAGGAACACCCCCCCCCCCTAGCGTATGAATATGAACGACTCTAGCTGTGCACCAATTGGGAGAAATTAAACATGATTTTTAACACCAAGACCACCAAATGGGGGAACTATGCACGCACCTATGTAGGCCGCTGCACAGGCGCGAGAAACAACCCCCAACCCTATCCTAATTGTAGAACACAACTGGAATTATATTATTAACCCAAGACACTAATGTAGTTTATTGGAATGATCACCAGGTGAAGACCACTGCGCAAACAAAGTGCAACAATGTGCAATGGAAATTGGCGCAGATGGTGCTAAATTTTGGACACCGGCAACCGATAATGAAAAAACACCATACGAAGGACAACAATTCGAAACAGTAGAGGCTGGGATTGATTTCTACATTAAATACGCGAAGGAGGTCGGATTTGATGTAAGGCACGACACAAAGCGACAAAACCGAGCAGGACAAGTGGCAATTAAGTACATCATGTGCTCACGGGAAGGATACAAAGCCGAAACGAAAGAAACCCCCAATAACCCAAACCAACGAAAGAGGCGTAGAAGAGTGTCAAACAGGGTAGGGTGTAAGGCACGTATGGGGATGTCAAAGTGTAAAAGTGGAGGATACAAAGTCCATACAATCGAGCTGCGACATACACACTGTTTATGCTCGGAAGAGGGGAGAACATTTTTAAAAATAAATAGGCAACTCGACATCGGACACAAGACGTTTTTGGCAAACTGTGCAAAGGCAAACATCGGCCCCACCAAAGCGTTCAGACTGTTCAAAGAGATGGTAGGGAGTTTTACAGAAGTTGGGGCAACATGCATCGACTTCTGCAATTTCAGAAGGGACATATTGGCTTACATAGCAGAGGCGGACGCCCAAATGGTGATTGAAGAAATGTTCAAACGGAAAGAGGACAACCCACACTTCTATTTTGATTTTGACATAGATGAAGAAGCACAACTTACTAGGTTATTTTGGGCAGACGCCGAATCACGTAGAAATTTTGCCTGCTTTGGAGATGTCATGTCATTCGACGCTACATACAGCACAAACAGGTAATTCTCTAATCTATTTACACCTAATCAGGTGTTTACCATTAAAGTATGTATAGCCGACATACGACACAGAAGTCGCATCCAATTTAATTGAAAGCAATACAAACTGTGTGCATTTAAAGAGTAACCGGTGTGCGTGGCAGCTTAATAAACAGTCAGGAAAAAAATATGCCGAACGCACGTCGACTAAAGACACTATACAAGCAGAAAATAACGCATAAATTATTGATATTGCAGGTACAAGTTGGTGTTCGTTCCTTTCACAGGGGTGGACAACCATAAGCGGTGCATTACATTCGCGGGAGGCTTAATTGCGAAAGAGGACATAGAGTCGTATGAGTGGCTACTGACAAAGTTCAAAGATGCAATGGAATACACACCAAGATGCACAATTACTGACCAAGACCCAGCACTGAAGGTAGTTATCCCACAAACTATGCCAACAACAAGACACCGATTCTGCATGTGGCACATCATGACAAAAGTTGGAGAAAAGGTAGGGGTGACATTGTGGCATAACGAGGACTTCAAGAAGGACCTAAATAGTACCGTATGGGATGACACTTTAACCATAGAAGAATTCGAGAGCAAATGGAAAACAGTAATGAAACAGTACAACCTTGAGGAGCATAGGTGGTTCACGCAGCTATACGAGGCACGAGCATCATGGATACCCGCGTACTTCCACAACATACCCATGGGAGGATTGCTACGGACAACATCTAGATCTGAATCGACTAACAGCTACTTTGGTAAGTTTACAAACCCCCACTGTAGCTTGGTAGAATTCATGGCGCAATACAACAGTGCAATTGGAGAGCAAAGACACAACCAATTAAAAGTGATCGCTGAGAATGAGGGTTCGTACCCAAAAACAAAATCCCCTCTAAGTATTGAGAAGCACGCAGCTAAGATTTACACCATAAGCATATTCTATGAAATCCAACAAGAGATATGGGAGGCGGGATTCACATGCCACATCAGAGACCAAACCAAAGAAGGGGAGATATGGAAGTACAGAATAGAGGACACTAGTGGAAAAATGTTTGAAGTCACACAACATCCAGCATCAAAAAACATAGAGTGTGCATGCAATAAATTCAACCGAATGGGTCTACTATGCAGGCATGTTGTGTTGGTAATGAAGGCAGAAGGATATGACACCATCCCAGAAAAGTATATTGTAACACGATGGACCCGAAGCGCATGTGCACACCCCATGTATGATGTGCCATGGGCAACGAAAACAAATAATACCAAAACGAACGAAGCGACAAAAATGGCAAACAAACTATGGAGTGAATTCTACACCTGCATGGGATTAGCAAAAGGTTGGCCAGACAGAATGGATCAAATGTTGGCAACATTGCAACAACTTAAGAAAGATTTAGAAATGGAGATGCAGGAAACACACGAGAATGGCAACAACAAATCGGCGTTTGAAAGGCTTATAGGTGCACACAGACCAGGCGACATACAAATAAAGCCACCCACAGTCGCAAAGAATAAAGGGAGTGGGAGAAGAATAAAAAGCAACAAAGAGAAAGCCACCGAAAAGAGACACTCAAAAAAAGAAAGAACGTGCAATATATGCGACCTTCCAGGCCACAACAGTCGCACATGTCCAGACAAAGTCACACCATATGAAAGTTAGAATATCTATGTATGAAAAACACAAAACAATGGTTGTAAGTTCCAATTATCGAACCGCATTAGTGTATTCATATGAAATAAACTTTTAATTCGATACAAGTAGCGAAAGGACCCTTTCAAAAAATACACCCCACGATTAAAAACACACGGATGGAGATCCCGGGATAATTCCACCTACTACATGATTACAAAATAAAAAAAATAAAAACAAAAAAAAAAGAACAGAAAAAAAACCCCCCCGCTGCACACGAGAGAGGAATGAAATGCACACAATCCCAAAAAAGGTCCACAAAGCGTGGGCACACACACCAGAGTGTTTGAATGCACGCACGTTAAACCTTTGAACAGTGGTTGTAAGTTTCAATTAACGAACCGTATTAGAGTACACATATGAAATAATATTGTAGCACACACCCCACGATTCAAAACCCACGGATGGAGCTCCCCGGATAATTCCTACTACCACTTGATTAACAAAAAAAAAACAAAAAAAAAAACAAAAACAAAAAAGGACACAAAACACTGCACACGAGATAGGAATGAAACGCACACAACCCCAACAGCAAAAACTAAACTGCCATTCGATTACCCATTACACAACAAAACGCACATAAGTATGACGCGAATGCGCACACCTGAGACAGCCAATAAGCATAGAAATGCATAGTGAACACGTTAACATAAATTAAAGCAGCTACAAATTCGTGTTACAGGCACAATCTAACCCCAAAAAAGGTCCACATACCGTATTAGAGTACACATATGAAATAATATTGTAAAGTGATACAAACATCCAACGGACCCACCGACAACAATACACACAGCACACGATAAAAAAGCACACAGATGGAGCTATCGGAATAATTCCCTTTACCACTTGATTACAAATAAAATAGGAGAATACAAAAAGAAAAGGAAAAAACCAGCACACTGGAGAGATATTAAATGAACACAACCACCACATCAAAGAAATAAAATGACATTCGTTTACCAATTAGACAACAAAACGCAGAAAACGCACAGTAATGCAAAAAAGTCAACGCATTAACATTAATTTAAACCAGCCACAAATTCGTGTTACAACCACAATCTAACCCAAAAAAGGTCCACCAACACTGGGTGCACAAACCAGAGTAATACCACCTCAAAAAACCCACCAAAAAAAGTGTGCAATAAACAAGTGCACATCACCACAAAAGGCCAAGCACAACTACGTACATAACACACCTAACTACAGAAACGGTAGAGGATTAGATACCGACTGGTACGCCCGAGAAATATTCGACACCCGATGCACATTAAACTCCGAACTCACAAGCTCCTTCATGTAACGCAAACGAAGTTTGTGTAACGAAGTAGTGTCCCCCTTAACTAACCCACAGTCCCAGTCACGGACGCGCTGACCGAAAAAGGACTCCATATGCCGCATCAGAAACACACCACAATCAATCTTATTCTTCGAGTCCCGCCACGGCATTTGCAAACGCTTCGGCTCCACCAAAATACTGGCCGTGGACAGCTCCGGCGAGATATCAGCAAAGAACTTGGACAACATACCCTGCTGAACTCCAGAAAAGATAAAACATTTTAGGGGAAGCGACAAAGGGAAACAAAAAAACCAGTGGAGATTGGATTCACAACGAACACCACTTACCATGTCCTCAATACAATCACCATATTTTAGTGCTTTAGATTGCGGATTAGAATCATTGTCAATAATCTCTAACCGACAACGAGAAAAATGAAAACACAACAAGAAATAGTGGCCGCGACGCAGTATGGGGAAAAAAATCTGCAACCAACAAACTAGTATAAATAGGAGTGCAATTGTTGTGCACAGAAATGTAAACCAAAATGCACAAAGATAGCCGTGTGTGCAGTTAGTGCATAGACAATGTGCAGACAGACAAAAGAGGTAAATGCAACACACTGTAAACATGTAGAAACCATACCATGTCCACTTTACAAATATCATCATACGGAGACAACTCTAAGTCCATCCTCAACCTCTCACAAAACCACACTACCCGCTTGTCCTCAGGTTGGGAAGTATCAACAACTGTAGATAACTACACAACAAACAACACAAAAACACAAGGAATGAATACAAACTAGTAAAAAAGTGACCAATTAAAATCAAGAAGAGAAGACCAATGAATTCAAACCCACCGTAGTAAACGTAGAAGCGAAAAGACGAGAAGGTGCGGCACGCGCCTTATTAGCCTCATGGCGATTAAGAAGCGCTGCCCAAGCATCTATAACACCCACATCAACTTCAGAACCCGGGGTCAAAGACAGCAAACACTCCCATGACGCAGTGCGTTGACCAACAGAAAATATAGTTTCAATCCTAACAAAACAAACACCAAAAACCAATCACCAAAAAATAATAAGAAAAGTAAAATAAAAAACAAACACAGTACAAACACAAAACCAAAAACAACAACATGTTTGCAGCGGAACCCCCAAGCAACCAATTGACTATCAATGCATCCTCCGGAAGGTCAGGCATGGGAAACGCAACAACTTCACTAGGCCCCACCGGGGGATACTGAAGTGTAGAGGCAACAACCGGGATAGAGGGTCCAAGTGGATTTACAGGCCGCCCAGCTTTAACCGGCGCCACGCAACCCGGGCCTTCAGAAAGTGGCTTCTCGCTTACCTCATTACCGTCGCCACACCCCTGCCAACAAATAGTCAAAATAAAGAAAGCCAAATAATATGAAAACTGCAAAGCACATTACAAGACAAGGGCTTTCACATACCCAAAACACCTGCACAACTACATGATTAACAAAATGCTAAACAGAAGTGCACTTGGGGTTGGAATGAGTACAAAAAATATACAATTGGACAACAAGCACACAAACGAACATGCACTGCACACTACCCACACCCCACCCCTAGCCCCAAACCACAGCAAGCACACAAGCATGCACCGGATAGCAAACACAAGGACAAATGCAATAATTCCAAAACACACACGCGAAACCAGGACTACTATACAACATATTAAGCAACCAGTAACAACCATAAACACAAACAACCAAACCTCAATCGGCGTACTAAATGCAACGCCCGACAAGGTAGGGCAAACACCAGCGTCTGGCCCACCAAACTCAACGCCAGATGCATTGCATTTACTGTCATCCTTCACACCAACAGACACAAGTCCCGATCCTCGCAGCCCACAATCTTGAGAAGGCTCACCCACACCAACAGAAACATCCAGTGTGGCACCTACATCCACCGGCCCAGACACCGCTGCAGCGCCACCCAAACCACCATCTACACCCGGCACAGTAGTAATATCCTACAGCGTGGGCACCCAAAACAAAAAAACAAAACACGGTTCGAAACTAAACGAAGAAAATACCACCATATGCAAAAGAACATCCCGAAACACATACCACATCCATACCAACAACCGGACCACGCACTGGAGAAGTTGCATTCTCAGAATGAATATCGTTAACCACAGCAGCAACCGTATCCGAACAGCCATGATGCAAATCATTCCCTCCAAACAACTGGGTTAATCCAAGACTAAACGACGGGACATCATCCACATCGGCACGCTCCACAATTGGCCGCATTAGAACCTCCAAATCACGTAGCCGGGGCTGAATAGACACATAGAGTCGTTGGCAAATCTCCCACTCAACAGCACGACCCCGTACCATCCTAAAAAGGTCGGATAAAGTACCAACCGATGATGTAAGAACAGCCACCTCCTCGCCAACCACACACTCAAACGTCTACACAAAAAACAGGAAAAAACAATGACATTAGAAATACAAGTACATGCAACCTGGAATTTAGAGAGGAAACAGTACCACATAGAATAAAACTAAAAAGTCTGTACTCGAAAAAAAAATAAAACGACCTGAAAGCAATAAAACAGAGCTCGTGCAAACTAATAATAGGGCATATGCAACCACCAACAATTACTTTAATTAAAAAATACAGTGTGCATCCAAGCCACAAGTATTAGCACCCGCAAAGAACAACGAATAAAATCAGTCATTACCTTAGGACCATATTCAGGACCATCACCATCACCTTGTACATCTACCGGAGGAGGATCAATTTGCCCATGGCCAAACCCACCAGCACCAATTTCCGCAGTCTCTCGAGCAGAAAGAAGGTCAAACGTCCATCCCCGGAACGAAGGCAGCAAACGTGGAACTGACCGCTCAAACGGCAAGACACGATCAACGTAAAACAACTACAACCAAAAACACCAAAATAAAGATTACAAGAAAATCAATCAGAATATTAAAAAAAAAAAAAAGAAAAACAGACGAACATACCGCAACAAACTCAGCAGGCCCCACAAAGCATTTATGGCGACCAGATCTCCAAGCCTCATGCGTCTCAACTAGGGAATCCAACAGAAGCTTGCACCAATTCAACTCATGGATGTGCGTAACATCATCGAAACAATCAAAGTACATCTGATTCGCATATCCATTGGACATACAGGACACCAAGGTCGAAACCACCAACATAGAGAAATGCCTCTTACACCAATCACCCCCGTCAACCTCGGCAACAAACCTGTCCGAAATAAGCGACGTAGTAATCGTATGCCTCACCATCCCAAACAAGCCCCTCCAATGTCTCAACAAGTTACTAATACGAACCCTTTCCCGCTTCACCATCTCAATGTGACCACATGGGAACCCCAACACCAACTCCACATCACGCTCACAAACAGACAATGATCTACCACCACCCAAGTCAAAAGTCCTCGTCCGACCATCAAAGTTAGTTAACAGCCAATGCAACAAACGGGGAGGGCACTCAGACACCTTAAACTCCAATAACGAACCAAATCCCAAGCTCCTAATATCTTCCTTCTGACGCATAGACAGGTCCACAAGCGCATCAACAAGAACACTAGCTTGTGACCGAATCTTAACACTAGGCAAATCCAATTCCTGTTCAGAAGACACAGCACCACCAGACCCCTCAGCAGAAGATGAAGGAACTGCAGCA